TAAATAAACATAAATGTACAATATACGAATGTTTAATGTTTGTTCTTTCAAATCTGAAAAAAAAATTTGAAGCAACACTGCCACAGTTTTCATAATTACGTTTGCCTTGGTTTTTGGTTAACTGCCTGCAGCGCTTACAGTGCTTTGATTTATTTTTGGCGAAGTTTTTAAGTTGGTCCAAATCCGGTTCCAAAATTAAACTTTGTTCAATTTCAACAGAATTTGAATGTATGGGGTTCTTTGATATGCTTAATCTAACCTTATATTTAAATTATTGAATTTGGGCCCTGTTATCAAATTGGTCCACAATGAGGTCCAAAGGGTCTAAAGTTAAACTTTGTTTGATTTCATCAAAAATTGAATTCTTGGGATTCTTTGATATGCTGAATCTAACCATGTATTTAGATTTTGGATATTGGACCATAATTGGTAAATCTCCAATTTTTAAGTTCTTAGACCACATTCATTCTGTGTCAGAAACCTATGCTATGTCAAATATTTAATCACAATCCAAATTCAGAGCTGTATCAAGCTTGAATGTTGTGTCAATACTTGCCCCAACTGTTCAGGGTTTGACCTCTGCGGTTGTTTCAAGCTGCTCCTTGCAGAACATTTTATTTTGTATATAGATCATTTGTGAGGTGTACAAGTTTGGGTAACCCTACATTGACCTCAATTTTATTATTTATTGATCAGATAAAATATTAGAGTAAACCAAATGTACGGAACTTCAATGTATATTTAAAACAAGAAATCACATGCTGAAATGTCATCCCAGTGCTTTACTCATCATGATTGAATTTATGTTGAAAGTCTGTAATATGAATGTTTACTACAAGTATCACATAAACTTTACATTATCAATGATCCATGTAAATGAAGTTAAGGTCAGGTGAACTCAGCCTGACAAACCTTACTATCACACCATATACCAGATATAGTTAGCCTATTGCTAAAGCATCTGAGTAACAAACCTATATGGTATGGGCTTTGCTTTATAGTTGAAGGCTGTACAGTGACCTATAGCTGTTAATTTCTGTGTCATTTGGTCTCTTGTGGAGAGTTGTCTCATTGGCAATCATACCACATCTTCCTTTTTATACTAATAACGAAAACTGAACATTTACCAATGAACCATAAAATTGAGATCAAGATCAAAAGAACCCTGCCAGACAGCATGTACACTATGCAATCATTCCATACACCAAATATAGATGACCTATTCCTTATAGTATCTGAGAAACTGACAAAACAATAATGAACCATGAAAATGAGATCAAAACAGATGAAACCTGCCAGACTGACATGTACACCTTACAATTATAACATACACCAAATAAGTTAAGTATAGAATTTATCATATTGTCTGCAATATATATCTTATTGCCATGAAACTTTGTAAGCAGTCTCATAATTTATTAAGCTTTGGTCATACCAAGTTTTATTAAGATTGGTCAACTTTTTCTATCCTATTAGGTCCGAGTACACAGTTATCGTCCTTCGATTTTCGTTGTCCACAAATATAGTCCCTAGTGTGGACAGTGTGTTACTTGCCAATTTTTTTATACCCCTTCCAAATTTATTTCTCCATGTTTTATGCCTCAAATAGCAAGTAGGGGGATTTATATTAAACTGTAAAATAATTTGGGTCATGAATTTTAAAGTAAAGTAGTGATTTTGTCCAGCTGAAAAAGGTTAAAAATAAGCACTTCGGAAGCTGTCAAAAGATTTCAAGACCCCCTTAACATAAAATTGTCCATATTTTGAGTTAGAGCCGATGAAGTTTTCTATAATTTTGATATAATTTGTCCCAAAAGTAGTACAACACATGGTAAAAATATTATTGAGAAAGCACAGGTGGGATTTTTTTAATTTTCATTTATTGTCTAAATTTGGCAACTCCCCTGAATGATTTGATGGTGTCAATTTGTCAAATAGCATGAAACTAAAGGATTTAAACTTTTATTTGATAGAATTTCTGCAAAAATGACCAATTTTGGCATTATATGGTCAAAATAAGCATTTCATAGCTTTTTCAATTTTGATGCATAAGTGGCATTCTGACTTTCTATCCGACAGGTTTTCATGTGTCAATATTTGTGTTTCTATGCTTTAATCCAGTTGTATTACTCATTTGTGAACTCTGAATCTACAGAAAAGAAGATTATCTCAGACAATATGTGCAAAATGTGTTGTATAAATGACCCTCGTCTAACACCCTGTTTGGATCAAGTTAAATGTGAGGAGCTTGGTACATAAAAGTTGAAGTCCATAATAAAGACCTCACTAAATTTGTATAAAAAGCAATTAACAATGTCTTTTGTACCTGTTTCATTTCACATAATATCTTTCTTTTCTTCTGTAGGATAGCAAGTGGTTCAAATATAAGCCTGTTGAGACTAAAATTGCCTGCAAGTATTTCACTAAAAAGTGAAAAATCTTTGTATCAGACCATACTGTCTGCAAAAAAAGTTGAATGCAGATTTATTGTATCATGTCACCTGAGTATAGAAATGATAGAAAAGACACACATTTTTATTTCCTATAGCTTCAATATGCATTTTTAAATGTAAATATGTGCTACGGCCTAAATTGACCCTAAATTATTTTCAGTCTTACTTGGCCTAAGAGGCTAAGACCCTTTTAAACTAATATGATATGTTATTTGTAAGTTTTCTTTCCATTTAAAGTACATTAAATACATATGTAAGGATTATTTATAACCAAAAAGCTTCACAAATTTAAAATTGCTGGAAAATATTACATCTTCATGTAAGGCCCCCCTTCATTGGAAAACCTCAATTTTTAGGCACCGTGAGTGAGTGAGTGAGGCTCATATAAATTTGACTTTTGAATAATTATGCTAAGTCTGATATATCAAATGAGTACTCTATTGCTTTTAATACATGATATATTATATATTAAGGCATTTTAAAAGTATTTTTTTGGAATATTTTAATTTTAAAAGCCCCAAATGTTGATAGTTGAAATTTTCCAATTTTAACGTCAAAATTTAACACGCAAAGTTGAATATAGAATTTATCATATTGTCTATAATATATATCTTATTGCCATGAAACTTTGTAAGCAGTCTCATAATTTATTAAGCTTTGGTCATACCAAGTTTTATTAAGATTGGTCAACTTTTTCTATCCTATTAGGTCCGAGTACACAGTTATCGTCCTTTGATTTTCGTTGTCCACAAATATAGTCCCTAGTGTGGACAGTGTGTTACTTGCCAATTTTTTTTATACCCTTCCAAATTTATTTCTCCATGTTTTATGCCTCAAATAGCAAGTAGGGGGATTTATATTAAACTGTAAAATAATTTGGGTCATGAATTTTAAAGTAAAGTAGTGATTTTGTCCAGCTGAAAAAGGTTAAAAATAAGCACTTCGGAAGCTGTCAAAAGATTTCAAGACCCCCTTAACATATAATTATCCATATTTTGAGTTAGAGCCAATGAAGTTTTCTATAATTTTGATATAATTTGTCCCAAAAGTAGTACAACACACTGTAAAAATATTATTGAGAAAGCACAGGTGGGATTTTTTAAATTTTCATTTATTGTCTAAAAGAAATGCACTACGAAATAATGGTGTACTCTGACCAACTGATGTATTGCTTATAGTATCTGAGGAATAGACCAAACCACAAAAACTTAGAATTGAACAATGAACCATGAAAATGGGGTCAAGGTCAGATGAAACCTGCCAGTCAGACATGTATACCTTACAATCATTCCATACATAAAATATAGTTAACAGACTTGACCACAAAAAACTTAACCTTTAATTATTGATCCATGAAATAAGGTTGAGGTCAGGTGAACCCTTTCTGCTGGACATGCAGACCTTGCAAGAATCCCATTTACCAAATAAAGAGAATGAGGTCACAAACAATGAACATATGACAGACAGACACTTCATCACATAAGGCATCAATATACAAGGTATGAAGCGTCCAGGTCTTTCAGTATTATAAAGCTTTCTAAAAATACTTTATGCTACCGCAGCCAGATAAGCATCATTTGTCACAGACAAGACAATAAATCAGATTATATGTCTTTGCAATAATTTTACCTGTGGGTACATCACCTCAAGGCAATGTGGTGTGTACCTTTAGGCATGACCTTTGACCTTTAGGTCAACCTTTTTCTTATAAGGTGACACATACTTTTGATATTTGGATTTAAGTTCATCACCTTCTCTTTCATTTAGCAGACCTTGACCATAACCTTCAACTTCAAGATCATCTTTTTTTAAAAATTTCAATGATAATTAAACAAATTTTGTTACTGTAAATACAGAAATTATTGCAAGGTTTTTATTAAGACTGGGTCAGAATAGCAATAATAAGAACTCACATTCTGATATCTGATACATATATCTGTATGCAGATTTTCCAGAAATCGCAATAATTAATCTCGCAATTTTGTCCATTCTTCAAAAATCGCATTAATAAATGCACACAATTATTTCTGAATACACAGTACATAATTCTGTCGGGCCATAGGTTGTGCCATTTTCTTTTCTTTTTCTTTTTTAATTTTGTGGTTTATTTGTGATATATTGCATGAGGGTACATCAGTGTGACACATTTTATCACATATCATTATGACTTTGCTCTGATCATTGTTGTTTTCCTTTGTGTATTAGCCTGGTGTGTGACATTTGATATACGGGTACAAAAAACCAAAACATGATTATATGGATGATTTGTGGTAAAAGTTACTGATACAATACTGCTCATATTATTTTATTTGATATGCAGACAGATCTTCTTGCCAACAATTTTATTCTTATGAAACCATAATGTTGGTCCCTTTAATGATATAAGACTTATATCAAATTTATTCATTGATATTTTGCTTTATTCAACACATGTGCAGTCCAATGTTTCCTACTGATGTACAGTACACAGGGTTGAGTATTAAAGAGGAGAATTTTTAAGTGTAAAACAATTCTAGTTCATACATATTCTTCATAAATAGCAAGACATTGTTTTAAAACAAATTTATTGCACATGTTCAGAATGCATATAAATAAAATACAATACTACATACAACAAATTTAGGTTTATATGATACTACTTTTTAAGTTATGAACACAAATATTTCACAAACAACACATTCTGCAATCAATTGGTCCAAATATAAATTGTTACTTTTACTCAAATGCTAAAATGATGGCAAATGAATCAAAAACTTGAAAATACCGCTATTCTATAAAAACAGAAGACTTACAGATCTTACAATGAAATAAAATCAAAAGTACAGAGAAATAAATCATACAAATATTAAGCTAAAACCAACAAAAAAAACCCTTGTTAAACCATTCATGTCATACTTTTCAATCAATATATTTTCTGTATATTTCATGATATTTTACTTTTTAGACCCAAACAGTGACTATCATAAGGTGATTCCCACCTTAAATAATTGCTACTTCTTCATTTATTGTATATAATATGAAGTCATACATGAACTTGAAATCTCTAAATATTTAAGTTTATCTAATGAGTTATCTCCCTTCTTCATAAATACTTGTTTAGAAATTCTCTCTTTAATAATTATTTTATTTCATTTGCTGATAGTCTTAGAATATTTCAAGATGCTGTAAACAAAAAGATACTGTGATATACAAATGTGATATTTAATTTATGGATTATGGAAATTTTTTAAATATCTTTACAAAACATATCTTTTGCTGTTGAAAATTTAGTCATTAGCAAGCATATACATCTGTAACTGAATAATCAGTTAATTGTAATTCTAAAGTTTGTTATGGTTAATTCGAATAAAAAAAGTTTACCCTTAAAAAAGACCAGAAGGTGTTTATAAATATGTTAATTAAAACAGTAATAAAAACACTTTATCACAAAATGGTAGCTTCAAATAAGGAAAAGCATCACTAACTTCATCAATTCACTACACATGTAATATCACCATAGTAACCAATCCTGTAATGAGAAAAAAATGAAAATTATGTTAACATTTTAAATTCTGTTTTGGCTAGCTCTGTGGTCATACTTCTTGATGTATACAAATTTTCAAGGATTTCACTTTGGATAAATGACTTTATCAATTAAGTGATAGGAATGAATGTTAATAAAAATAAGAAGTTATAGTATGAATGCCAATGAGACAACTATCTATCAACAACTTAAGGACAAGGATGTAAACAATTACAGGTTACCTTTGCTCACATTTCTTAATTAAAGAAAATAACTTAATACACACTCAACAAAGTTTGGAAAAATCTAGAAAACTGATATGCAAGATTCTACTTACTTTATTAAACTTTTTAAGTGTTATCAACACAATGTACAATTTTTAAAACATAGATGAAAGTTTCAAACACCTGGGTTACACAGAATGTTTCTTAAACAATGGAGAATGCTCTTTAATGAACATTTAAATGTTTGAAATATGGAATGTAAAAATTTCTCAAACAATTCCATAATATCAGGTGCACAACTTCAATATATGTGCCACCTTCCTGTGAGGTTTCAGGGATCTGGGTAGAAAACTGTAGGATGAGTCGAATACACAAATTAGGTACCCATTTTTCTCCTAATTCAGCCTGCCTGCCCTACATCCCCAAAAATATTAATGATATGCATACTTTTCTAATAATACAATATTGTTTCTAAGGATAACATGGCTTTACATCATATGTACATCTATCAAATACTTATCTGTATTTTTCTACTAACAAATATCAAATCATAGCAACAGTTAATACCATAGGACATTAAATGTATTAAAAAGCATTTTCATTCATTTTAGAAATACAATTTTAAAGAAAAGTTGGTAGTTGTCAATGAGACTGCATTTCAAAAATGATTTTAATTTCAAAACAGTTAACCTTTTATATCTTGAATACAGATAAGCATTAAAATCAGTATTGGACTAAAGTACAGTATAACATTTAAGAAAAATCACTAATGGATTACATGTATGAGGGTCTGGATAGGGGGGGGGGATTGGGTTCTTCATTTCTATATTCTTTAATTTTTTAGCCATTTTTTTCTATTCTTTATACTTTTTGTCCATTATAATCTATTCTTTATATTTTAGCACCTCATTGTTCTCTATTCTTTATTTTTTGGTCCATTTTTCTCTATTCTTTCTATTTTTGCCCATTTTTCTCTATTCTGTAAACCCTCATCCACACCATCATGTATTTCACTATGACTAATTATAAAATTTCCAGATATGAAAATTACAAGCATGTTTAAAGAAATCCCAAGTGGACAAAATTTTTACACACACCTTATTGATCAATGGACTTTAATACAATAACTGATAACCTTTTTGATTATGGTATAAACAATTATACAATCAAATCTTTTAAACTACATTTTATCTTTTCTTCAGTTATGCTGATAGCTGTATATGAAAATATACTGCTAAAAAATAAGTGTTATTAATAAATCAAACCTGATTTTAACAAAGTTTATCAGCAATTTGAGTTATCATTTATCATTACTGAAATTCAAAATAATATCAATGTTTTTAAGTTAACAAGGCTATAATGAAATTTATTTTTACCAAAAACTATAATAAAATTGAGAATGGAAATGGGGAATATGTCAAAGAATATGTATATACCGGTATACACTTGCCATTTTAGTTCAATCTTGTATTACAAATAAATCTCTGCATTTAAGGACACACAATAGCAGAAGCAGGGGCAGATAAAAACATTCCTTTTACCAACATTGCTAATGATAAGCATATGCTGGCATACAATTCTAGACAAATGAAGGCTGTTTACTATTATCAATACATTCCAATCTAAGACTGTAATTTGTATGACATTTTTGTGTAGGGTGGGCTGCAAAATGATGTTGCATTATGAAAATGCTTCAATGCAATCTAGCACAGAAAAGCAATATATGATGTCAAGTTTTCTCGGGGTAACAATCTGCTCTATCACCCTCTCATCTATGTGTAATTTATATAGTGATTTTCATAAAATCTTATAGCATTCAACCATAGTGTGGTAAGAAACCTTACAGCACATAAATTAGGGAATATTTTCCCAAAAAACAGGGGAAAGTATCTCTCTATTTGAAAGCATTTTTCTTTTGAAAAGTGTTGAAATTTAAGTTTTATCATTGTTTGTGCATTTCCCTCAAATATTCAATAACCAATGCTTTAAAAATTGGCAAAAAGGTATATTTTCTTTGAATATTGCAAGAGAGCATTTAAATATGGACTTCATTTTCTAATGAGGACATTTGTATACACATACCATTTACTCTTTGTGTTGCTGATCATTTTTGCAACTTACATGTTTAACCTAGCTTCTATAGTTTTTAGATAACAGCCAAAACACTGAAAAAACAGTAAAAATCTACATTCCAGGAACAACAACTTCAAATTTTCAGAGTAGATAAATCTTGTCATTCTGATTATATTTGCATTATTTGCTGATCTTTTATGCTTTCTAAAAGGAGTAGGTCCGGTAAGACCCCTTTTTGGCCCCAAAATATAGCGTTTTTACAAACTTGTTAAAAATGTAAACTTATAGCTATTTATTGAAAATTAGTTACATAAATATGGGCTGTTTTGGACAATTCAATGGACTTGCATCGGGTACTATCATCATTATGTCATGCAAAAATACTGAAATCTTTACAATTTTAGCATTTGTGCTAATTTTAAGATGGTTTTTGTCTAAAATGGAAGTGGCCACACTTGTGTTCAGTCATAATAGCTAGATATATGTTGTATTTAATGATAATATATAACATATATAAATGTTGAGACTGAACACAAATTTGGCCACTTCCATTTTAGACAAACACCATCTAAAAAGTGACGTTTTACGGCACATTTGGTAGATTTTTCAAATTTTAGCTTAATGATAAATTAGTTCAAATCTTTAACATAAACTAATTGAATCGACTGAAGTAGACACTTAAGTGTTTAAAAAATGTCAAAAATCTTTCATCAGATGTACTTTGAATTTTAACCGAAATTAGCCCTTACGGGACCTTCTCCTTTCTCTGAACTCTAGTTTTCGACAAAAATGGATAAAGTTTCAGGGAAAATAACTTCTGTAAGGAGTCAGTTGACAATTTATGCCGTGATGACTGATCTTATTGTGCTGAACATTTTTGCTTCTTTACTGTATCTCTCTTTCTATAATAGTTTGCGTGCAAACCTGCAAAATTCTTCTTTCAAGGGCAATAACTCCTCTCAGGTCAGGGGTTATTTGACAATTTCAACCATGTTGACTTATTTGAAGATCTTATTTTGCTATATGTTGTTGCTCTCTCATTCTGTCTATATTTGTTTTGCAAAAAAAATCATTGAATGACTAAAATTATTTTTTTAAGGGTAATAACTCCTATAAGGGGTCAATTGACAATTCCTCCATGTTGACTTATTTATAGATCATATTTTGTTAAACAATTTAAGTAACAAAAGATTCTGTTTATCAACTAAAGTTTCCTAAAAACATGCAAAATAGGGTAATAAACTGTTGACACAGAGATATTTCTCGCTATATTGTAATTTTGAAAGTATTATGCAAATGTTAAAACAAAAATGGTAATATTTAAACATGTAAACTATTCCAAACATTCAAAGTCAATGCAATGAAACATGACTGAAGGGGCAAGGCTGGCCAAATAACAACATAGAAAAATAAAAATACTAAAGCTTATAAAACTGCATACCAAATACAATTGACTTATCATAAGTGGTTACCTCTAAACTAACCAAAACACAGACTTTAACTTATATAACTATGCAAAAGTTCCAAAGTCAATAAACCATGATGATGGGGCAGGGCTATATAAATCATTTCCATGGAAATAAGACTTGTAAAGCCTTGTACAACTGCATACCAAATATTATTGACTTAACATTAGTGGTTCATCTTAAACGGATGTAATCACAAACATGACAAACTTTAACATGTAAATTTTGCAAAAGTTTCAAAGTAAATACACAATGACTGAAGGGGTGGCGTAAAATAATCTCCATAAAAATGAGATGTGCCAATGCTTATACAACTGCATACCAAATATCATTGACCTACCACTTGTGGTTCCCCATAAATTGACCTAATCACAAACTAACACATTGTTGATGTCGCGCTGCTGCCACCCATGGAAACAGCATGTCTAAGTCTCGCTTTTTATACGACCGCAAACAAATTTTGTGGTCGTATATTGGTATGACGTTGGCGTCGTCGTCGTCCGGGAGGCGGCGTCGTCCAGCGTCGTAGTCGTCCGAAGACACATTGGTTTTCGCACTCTAACTTTAGTTTAAGTGAATGGATCTTTATGAAATTTTACCATAAGGTTCAATACCACAAAAGAAAGGTTGGGATTGATTTTGGGGGTTATGAAACCAACACTTAAGGAATTAGGGGCCAAAAATAAGCATTTTTGTAACTTCCAGGCATAACTTGTGTGTTAGTGTATGGATCTTTCTGAAATTGTACTACAAGGTTCCATATCACAAAGGGAAAGCTGGAATTGAGTTTGGGGGTAATTGCCCAAAACGTTTAGGAATAAGGGGCCAAAAATAAGCATTTTTCTAGTTTCCAGACAATAACTTGTGTTCAAGTGTAAGGATCTCTCTGAAATTGTACTGCAATGTTTCATATCACAAAGGGAATGTTTAGATTGATTTTGGGGGTAATTGCCTCAAAATTTTGGGAATAAGGGACCAAAAAAGGGGCAAAAAACAAGCATTTTTCTAGTTTCATGACAATAACGTGTGTTAGTCTATGGATCTTTCTGAAATTGTACTACTAGGTTCCATATCTCAAAGGGAAAGCTGGAATTGAGTTTGGGGGTAATTGCCCAAAACGTTTAAGAATAAGGGGCCAAAAGGGGGCCAAAAATAAGCATTTTTCTAGTTTCCAGACAATAACTTGTGTTCAAGTGCATGGATCTCTCTGAAATTATACTGCAAGGTACCATACCACAAAGGGAAGGCTGGGATTGATTTTGGGGGTAATTGCCTCAAAAGTTTAGAAATTAGGGGCCAAAAAGGGGCAAAAAACAAGCATTTTTCTAGTTTCAGGACAATAACTTGTGTGTAAGTGTATGGATCTTTATGAAATTGTACTACTAGGTTCCATTTCACAAAGGGAAAGCTGGAATTGAGTTTGGGGGTAATTGCCCAAAACGTTTAAGAATAAGGGGCCAAAAGGGGGCCAAAAATAAGCATTTTTCTAGTTTCCAGACAATAACTTGTGTTCAAGTGTATGGATCTCTCTGAAATTATACTGCAAGGTACCATACCACAAAGGGAAGGCTGGGATCGATTTTGGGGGTAATTGCCTCAAAATTTTAGAAATTATGGGCAAAAAAGGGGCAAAAAACAAGCATTTTTCTAGTTTCAGGACAATAACTTGTGTGTAAGTGTATGGATCTTTATGAAATTGTACTACAAGGTTCCATATCACAAAGGGAAAGCTGGGTTTGAGTTTGGGGGTAATTGCCCTACATTTTTAGGAATATGGGGCCAAAAAGGGGACAAAAAACAAGCATTTTTCTAGTTTCCAGACAATAACTTGTGTTCAAGTGTATGGATCTCTATGAAATTGTACTGCAAGGTACCATACCACAAAGGGAAGGCTGGGATTGAGTTGGGGTGATGAATCATAAGGGGTTCAAAAAATTTGGGGGGGGGGGATTTTTTTTTCCTTTTTTTTTCTTTAAAATTTTCCATTTTAAATTGGTTATTTGTGATTTATATATAAAAGCAAATAATAATGATATGGTTTGAATAGGTAAATTAAAAAATTTTAAGTTCTTAGACCACATTCATTCTGTGTCAGAAACCTATGCTGTGTCAAATATTTAATCACAATCCAAATTCACTGCTGTATCAAGCTTGAATGTTGTGTCCATACTTGCCCCAACTGTTCAGGGTTTGACCTCTGCGGTCGTATCAAGCTGCGCCCAGCGGAGCATTTTATTCTGCTCTGTCAAAGCGAGACAAAAATAAGCATTTAAAAGCAATAACTCCTATAAGGGGTCATTTAACGATTTCTGCCAAAGTGACTTATTTGTAGTTCTTATTGTTCTGGCCATTTACTGTTTAAATTGTCTCTCTATCTGTTATAAATTTAAAGATAATAACCAAAAATATTGGTTTTTCAGGGACAATAACTCCAAATGGGTTGTCCATTTTTTCTATAAAATCCCCAGGAGATAGATCTTTGACCTGCTGACCATTTTTACCCTGTATGGCAGATTTGCTCTATCTGCTTTAGTTTTTGAGATATAAGCAGAAAACTTTAAAATTTACAAAACAATTGTCATTTCAAAAATTGAAAAATGGGTTGTTTAATTTTTCAAAAAATTCTGTTGGAGACAGACTTGACCTGCTGACCATTTTTACATTGACAAATTTGTTGTAACTGCTTTATTTTTTAGATATAAGCAAGAACTGCATTTTAGCCCCTTATGTTCTATTTTTAGCAACAGCAGCCATGTTGTTTGGCAGATCAAATGCCAAGATACAATTTTTAAACTAAATACCTGAAGAAACATTCAGGTATGATAAGTTTGGTAACATTTGGGCCAGTAGTTTCAGAGAAATAGATTTTTTTTAAAAAGTTTACGATGACGGACAGATGGATAGAAGAACAATGACAACATATACCAACTGATGGCAAAAACTTTTAGGCCAGGTGAGATAAAAACTAAACATTATTTCAAGCAGTTGCTTAACCATGAAAATTAGATCATGGACCATGGACATATGACAGTATTATGCAAATGTTGAAATAACTAGATGTGTCAGAACGACACAAATGGCCCCGTTTGCAAAAAAGCTTGAAGCCATTTTTAGGAATGGAATTTTGAGAATTAAAGTCTGTATAACTGTTATTTTCACAAAATGTTCAAAGTCAAAATCAATGGAGGGGACCCAAACATAAACTTGACCTGTGGCTCATCATAGTAGACTCACATACTAAAAATCACCTAAAAAAAAATCTGTACAACTGTTATTTTCACAAACTTTTTAAAGTCCACAGCCCGTAATTTCTGCAAAAATATAATAACTTACCTAAAATATATGCAGCTATAAGTTTCTGTGGTACTGACAAATGCAAGTAGTCTGGAAGACGGGTGGCGATATCACCCTGCTGTGGTAGCATGAGTGCAATAATACAAACTAGGGCAGTAATAATCACAAACAGACTGGGCCCACCACTATTCTCAGATCTACCTATAATACACAAAATTACATTTAATTTGACATTTATAACAAACATGTATAAATTAACAAATTATTTGAAAATTGAAATTTATCAATACACTCTAAAGTTCTTGAGCTGAAACAAAAATGCCATTTCTTGCATATTTTTAAGGTTCATAACTCTGGAAATTCATACCAGAAATGTAAACAATTCTACCTTAGTCTACATGACTGTTTAACTGGTTTTCAAGCTTTATAAAAGATTCATCTATTTTTGTGGATATCATTTTTTTGTAGATTGAGGAAAAATTATGTATTGTGGATATTTGACTTCGTGGGGTTGCCAAAGTCTGTATACAAGCCTATAGAAAAGTTTGTACAAAATTTAAAGTTAAATTTGTGGTTTACCTGTACCCACGAAATCCATGAAAATTGGTATCCAACTAATAATAATGAATCCACAGTATACTGATCATTAATTCTGTTCCAGCATAATGAAGTAATTCAGTGGCAACCATAAATTTGTCTATCTTCCAAGTTATGTGGGAATATCGCAGAAACAAAACATGCATCATATTCAAACTCAACCTGTGTTCTGTGCTTTCTAAAGGGTACAGGTAAATTGTATAATAAAACTGAAAAGCTATTATTTGTCCCTTGAAATTGCAAAAAATAGAAAATTTATTCAAATCTTTCAAAACAAGTGAAACTGCGAGCTACTGCTCACTGATGATACCCCCACCCAAATATGGATAATCTTAAAAGTGTAAAAACATGTAAGTGTTCGGTAAACAGGAAGTTGTTGAGTGATGAATCTGAAAACGCATCACACAGTAAAGCTCACTCATATAAGCCTTGAAATCAAATTTCAGAAATCCTTGTAATGTAGTACCTGAGAAAAATGCGACGAAAAATTTTCATGGGACGGATGGACGGACAGACAGAGGTAAAACAGTATACCCCCACTTTTTTAAAGAGGGGTATAATTAAGTTAAAAACTGTATTGCATTTGTTCTTACATGTGGTTGCTACATTTTACTGTATCCAAATACATAAATGCTTTTCTTCAAGCACAACAACTGTTCTAATTTTTAACCAGTTTCCTATTTTAAAGGGACATAACCCTTTTAAAGTAAAAATAAAATCTGACCTGTTTTTGGCCTAAATGGTATAGAGCCGCTAATTCGGCCGGTCAGAAAGAACATAAAAGAAAGTAGTACATATTCTAAACAAAATAGTTCCTACACATAGCTCTAACTTTGTCAATAAGTAAAATATTTGGATAATTTTTGTTTCAAATGAAAGCTTAAGGACTTGGGATCACTGTAGAACCCTTGTTAAAAGTTTCTTTTGAATAATAAAAAAAAAAATATGAAATTAAGATAGGAGGGCATATTTGCCCTGTTGCTCAGATCATGCAGATAAGAAGTACCTGTTTTTGTACTACCGAACTTCCGGAAACCAGTGCGCTCTAATACGCAATTAAGGTATGTTGATTTTTTTCAGTATAAGTCAGGATAAGGTATAGTTTTGACATGAAATGACTATAACTTTATTTAAACTTAAGACAAAATAGCTATGAATGCTTGAAGTTGCATAATTTAAAATAGAAAGCAAGGGGGTTATGAATTAGTGGTGTTATTCCTAAACAAAGAATATCCCTCAAATCGGATTAAATTGGTAATCTGAATCTATTATTACAGGGCTCACACTACTTCAAAATCAAAGGGAGAAGTGACTTTTCTTTTTGAAACTGGTAGGGAGAAGTGGTGAGATTTGAAAGATAAGTGCTCGTTTGCTCGCGGCGCTACATTGTTTGGTTTTTACTATAATATAAAGGGCCATATGTATCCTTTTTATATAAGTGTTCAATTCATACCTGAGTCAATTAAAGTAACAGTTGTTTCAGTTTATGTCTTAAATAGTCATTTATAGTTGCATAATTATATTAATCCTCTTGACAGAATCTACCAACTAAATATCTAGCACTTGAAAGAACTTTTTTATATCAAAAAGGAAAAGAAAGTATCATATATCAATTAAAATGCAATTAAAAAAACTATTCTGTTTATCATCTTAATGAAATTCAATGTTTTTCATTAAAAAGATATATAAATTTAACAAAGTTAAGCAACTTTAATCAATAAATTGAAACAATGCATTTAGATGGAAATATATATACATTTAGCAAGGAGATCTAACCAAAAGTCTATTAATGCGTGTGGAATGCATAATTTTCACTTTTGGGGTCATTCTATTGTCAGCTGTTCAATTCAGGCGTCTGTAATTATTATAGTAAGAATACTGATTTCGGTCATAGCTGGTCCGCTGCCGATGAATCCCGCCTCCGATCCGTGGTTCGTTCAAACATTTCAATGGCGGACGAAGAAAATTTACGAAAAATAAACGAAGTTTGACAAGCGATTCGGAAAGGAATATGACGCTTTAAATGCAATCAATGGATGAAACATTAACCAAAGGCAATTTTGATCACTTTCTAATAAAAGTAACAAACTTATTTTGCCGATCATAAGAATGTTTTGATATACGATCTCGAGTAAAAAGTACCGGAAGTGAAAGAAAATACTTCATAAAAGTTGTTTCTTTGAAATAACATATGACCAATCTGTAAAGTCAATACTTTCACATCTTTTCTAAAGAAATAAATCGTTTATGTTTTGGAATTTCTTGACTTTTAAATGAAAAATAAGCTGTTTCATTGACTTGGTAAGAAGGGGAAATTGCCAATGACGTAAGCGACTTCAAGCGACTATTGTGAACATTAGGGCGACTAGATATCGCTTTTGTCGGTCTGGCAAAGCGAAGTGACGGTCGGGAAAGTGACTTTTTTGCCCCAGTCACTTGCTAGCGTGAGCCCTGTTATTAAGCAGAGGACAAGTTCTACATAAACATACAAAAAATTTATCCACATGATTGCATTGATAAACAGCAGTAAACTAGTAGCCCTTTGTTTTGACCAGACATGTAAAAGGGGCCATTATTTGGTCCTTAGAATAATAAAACTTACTTGGTCTGGATGAAAGGCTTTGAGATCTATCAGCAGGCAATGTAGATGAAGGCAGAGACTGGAAGTTTTCCTCTGGTTGTACAGATCTTTCTTTTCTAGGCAGCAATACCGATATAATTTCTTTCTTTCCTGCAAAATAGATTGACTTAAGCTTTTAATTTGTGGCATTTTCTATACAGTTTTTGAAATACCATTGAGATAAAACTTAAATTTGTTAGATGTAATTATGATAATCTGATCATATTTTAACTTAAAGACTATGCTGTGTGCAGATTCCTATAACCACACAATGTTAACATGAGATTATTGATTGATTATTTAATAGTATAGTGTTTGTCAATTGCTATAATCACACAATGTTTACATGAGATCATGAACAATTATCTAATAGTATAATGTTTGTCAATTTGAAAACAATTTTTTTTTCAGTTATAGTTCAACGAGTCAAAGTTGTATGCAAAATTTTACCAAAATATGTGACATAGCCCATTTATTGTAACTTGACCTTAAATCAAACACATGACTACAGACACAGGCATAGCAAACAAGCTGTGAAATATCCACTCAGTAAGAAAGGGCAAAAAGAACATCAATGTCAAAAAAAGGAAAAATGACTACATGTTAAGTTCTTAATTTACAATTTTATATAAAAATGGTAAATTACCAATAACTTTCTTTTGTCCATGTTCCACCACTTGTATTCTGAATTTATCTTTGACCCCTTCATTGTTTATATTAATATCAATATGTCTCACAACTCTGAAAATATGAAAGAACAGACTTATCAAAATTTATCAAATAATATGAAATTGGTTATATAAAGCTAATTTGACATGCTTTGAGAGGGATTTTAAATGATAATGAATTTACTGCCTAGAATCCTGCCAGATAGACATATATACCATCCAATCATTCTATACACCAAATATAATTAACTTATTGTTTAGAGTACATGTATCTGAGAAACAGATATAAACTATGAACACAAAATGGACCACACTGTCAGTGATACCTTACCTTCCATGCACCAAATATCAATGACCTAATCTTGAAACTTAACATTGACCAATTAACTATGAAAATGAGTTCAGAGTTAAATGAACCCTGCTAGACAGACATGTACACCTTACAATCATTTCATATACCAAAGACAGTTGTCAGACATATTGCTTATGGTATCTAAGAAACAGACGTAACCTCAAAAATTGAGGTCATGTGAACCCTGTCAGATAGACCTTGCAATGATTCTATTTACCAAATATGATTGCCCTATTACTTATAATAAGTTAGAAAATCGTGAGATAAAAAAACTATACATCTTTTTTTAGCAGTAGCTGAACCATGAAAATAAGGTTAAGGACAACAGACATATATCGGATTAAAACTTCAAACCATAAGGCATCTGTATGTATAAAGTATCCAGGTCTTCTACCTTCTGAAATATAAAAGCTTTATACAAAGAGTTTACTCTGTCATATTAGCATATCTGTCTGGCATTCAGACTCTACAAGACACAAAACTTAGGCATTATATTCTGAATTATTTTGTCTTAATTTATATAAGTAAATTGAAGAGGAAAAAATCAACAAGAATAATTTTCCAATAAATAAAGAACATACCATCAAAATTTATAGAAAAATAAAGATAGGTCTACAGGACAGTTTTTGAGATACAAGCCTTTGAAAAATCAGTTTTTGGAGGTCTCTTGACTTTGCATGTGAAATCCATGTGTAAGAGAAAATGTTAAATTGTAGTTGTAACCAATCACTGTGATGACTTGACCAATAAGTTTTATCTTCACCGTACATTTCATGTACATAAGTGTACTTACATATCAACACAACATCTTGGCCTAATAGTGCCTTCTGAATCAACAACTGTGTATTTTCTTGGTGCTGTACACAACACTTCAATCAAAATAAGAAGAAATAAAGCAATCTATATACTATCTGTATATAATCTGTGACAGAAATAGTTGTCATGATATAGGTAAATTCAATTTTAACATAACAGTGTTAGGACCTTCTATAGCTGACTATGAGGTATGGATTTTTCTCATTGTTGAAGGCCGTACGGTTGCCTATAATTGCTTACATCCACTTCATTTTAAGTTTGGTGGATATATAGTTGTCTCGTTGGCAATCATACCACATGTCCTTATCTTTATATTAATTTCTGTAGAATTTTAAAAACTTGCTTTCTGAGGTTTTTTTTCAAATGAAAATAAACTTTACTTGTTCCCACAGTAAAATGAATTCTTATAATAGAAAAAATGTAAAAAAATACATACATGTAGGATGCCAGTTAAATAATACTATATTCCATTAAAAACAACAAACAGTGTCATGGATATTTATTTTAGAGATAATAAAAATATTTTACAATAAAGTTAAGGCAGAACTAACAAACAGGTAAACCTTGTTTTTTGAGAGCAAATTAAAATTTTTTTTATTTCCTATTAAAATTTACAATCACAAGCTTTTACATAGGACAAAAAGTTGATTGACACAACCAATGTCTTCAATTATTTTTTAATGGGAGGGCTGTGCATGATTTTAAAAGTACATTATACAAACCTTTAAACTTTAAAGGAGAGTCATAAGGATTATACACAGTCAGTATTTGTTTATGTGATGACTGGTCATCTGAATAAAATGTCAGGTTTGATGGGAAGACAAACAGTGGGAGTTTGCCATCTGTCAGCTGAGAGGGTTGCATCTGTCATGAGTGGTCTTTTATCTTGTTGATGCTTTCTTTGAATCTAAAAGAAAAGTAAAAAATTTGTTAGAAAAAAAAGTAAACTTCATTTCAACAATATGAATTGAAGAAATTCACAACATCAGCAAATTGCAATTACTGGTTTGCAACTTTTCTAAATGAACAAATGTGATTTTTATATAATTATAGGTAAAACTTTTTTTGTTTTTGTTATTTTAAGGAAATTGTATATTAACCTAAACATTGAAGGAAGAAGGGTTGTTATTGGTCTATACACTTTTTCCAGAAAAAAACTTAAACAACACTGTTTTCTTTCTTTTCATGTATTTTGTAAAACATCATAAAGAAGCATACTACCAAAGCAAGACATTTAGGCCATCTTCAGCCATACTTTGTGAAGTCGTTTCAGCCATGGTTTTACAATTTGGTTATAAAGAGAAGGAAAACTAATTGTTTCATTCCTACAAACTATGACCAATTGTTAAAGGAGTAGGCCCGGTAAGGCCCCTTTTTGGCCCCAAAATATAGTGTTTTAAAAATTTGTTATTTATTGGAAAGTAGAATAATTTTGTTACATAAATATGGGCTATTTCTGACAATACCATGCACATGCATCAGGTACTAGCATCATTAATTCGTGCAAAATTACTGCAATCTTCACAATTATAGCATTTGTGCTAATTTTTAAACGGTTTTTGTCTAAAATGGAATTGGCCGCACTTGTGTTCAGTCTTGATATTTAAATATATGTTGTATTTGATGATTATACATAACATACATAAAGGTAGTGACTGAACACGAATGTGGTCACTTCCATTTTAGACAAAAAAACACCTGAAAAGTGATGTTTTGTGGCATATTTGAGAGATTCTTTATATTTAAGCTTGAGTTTGAGCGTCTTTAATGACCAAACCAATTCAAATCTTTTACATAAACTAATTGAATCTACTTAAGTAGACACTAAGGTGTTTAAAAAATGTAAAAAATCTCTCATCAGATGTACTTCATATTTTAGGCCAAAATTAGCCCTTACCGGACCTTCTCCTTTATCATTTATATATCATGTATAAATCCCAGCTACAAACAGACTTTTTAACAAATGGAAAATACATTTGAGTCATAAAATTATATTCATTGTAAGAATTTGTATGAATTTATGTATTATAAGAATATTGGTAAAAGGGGGATATTTATATTAATTTAAAAAAAAATCTGAATATACAGAACAATTTATCATTCTCTGCATGCTCTGTTATCAAAAATATGTAAAAATTGCAAATTGGTATATCAGATTACATAGAAGTATGATTAAAAATTAAACAATCATGGAAAGTCCCAATAACCTTTTTTAGGTAATCAGTTAGCACCTGCCTCATATATTATCATCATGATCGTGATATTTCCAAAATCAATTTTAACATCTACATATCTACATAACAAAAACAAAGGTTTAAATTTAATAGGCTCTTTGTTTTCCATGTTGTATTGTTTCACAGTTTATTGTCCAGGGCCTTGTTGGCTGTGTTGTCGAAGTAGTTCAACTACACTGAGGTTGTGAACCCTGCATGTGGCAGTTGCACTGGACTCGAATCTTAATTGTCTAGGCTTGTCAGTTTTCCTGTCAAAGGTCAGCAGTTCTCTCCATGCAATCCGGCTTCCTCCACCAATAAAAACTGACTGCCACGAAAAATCCAATAGTGCTGAAAGTGGGGTTAAACACCAATCAATCAATCAATATTCTCCTGGGCCTTTTATAGATTAATATACTGTATGGGTTGTCCTCTGGCATAGACCTAATCCCTTTCCAGATGCTGTGTCAGTTTTATTTTCTGATTTGGCTGCATAATACATGTAAGTTGGAGGGTTAAGGGCATAGGATACAGTTACAGGGGAGATAAGGACGTTGCTAACGTGAATTGTTAATTAGATATAGGAAGATGTGGTATGAGTGCCAATGAGACAACTCTCCATCCAAGTTACAATTTATAAAAGTAAACCATTATAGGTCAAGGTACAGCCTTCAACACGGAGCATTGGCTCACATGGAAACGCAAGCTATTCAGGGCCCCAAAAAATTACTAGTGTAAAACCATTCAAACGGAAAAACCAACGGTCTAATCTATATAAAAACAAGAAACACGTATGAACTACATAAACAGACGACAACTACTGTAATCAGATTCCTGTTAATGTTATTTTTCCGACGTCAAACTGTGACATATCGATAAAAGATGCATTTTTCGACTGATTTTAATAATTCACTTGAAAACAAGTACATGCCCCCATTTTTATTTTAATTTAACATTTAGCTTGGTTGTGTATGAAGATTATTTGTACCAATTTTTATGGACAAATCACCAATGATTTTTTAAAAATTAGATAAATTCAGAAATATACAGCAAAAAATGTTGGTTTTTCCTAAAATTGTGAATATTTACCGGTAATAAAAATGAATTATTTCCATAGGATTGTTACACAAATTTTGAGCATACTTATGTAAAGAAGATATTCCAAATGTTTTTACAAAAATCCATTTGTGTTTATCTTTTGAAAAAACTAGAGGATCTAAAGAGCATGTGTAGCTCAACGTTGCATATGCAACAAAGGACACTCTCCAACATTGTAGAGAATAGAATTCATGACAAAAATCTCTGTTTTGTCGAGCTTGTATTGCTGATCATTTAGTCTGTTTAGTAACAGACTTTTCTCTCTATCTTCTTTAGCATGTTTAGAATTTGCTAAAAAACAAAAGAGGGAAAAAAAATCCTCATTTAAGGGCAATCACTTTTATAAAGAGTGACAGTCTATATAGCAACTAAATATATTGACAAAATTTGATTTGTTAGAAGATCTTGCCTTGCTGATCATTTTGTGATTTAAAGTGTCTATTTATCAATTATAATTTTTATCATAAAAGGCAAAACGCAAAAATAATGGTAAAAATCGTCATTAAAGAGTAATAACTCCAATAAGGAGTTGTTGGACAATTCCTCCATTTGTTTTAATTATAGATCTTGTCTTCCTGATCATTTTTGCTTATTTAAGTTTCTATCTATTATATTTTTTAAGATATATGGCAAATACGCAAAAAATTGGTAAAAACCGTCATCAAAGGGCAATAACTCTAATAAGGAGTCGACTGACGATTTAGACCATGCAGACTTCTTTGTAGAACTTGTTTTGCTGGTCATTTTTGCGCTTTCAAGTTTCTATCTATTATGGTTTTCAAGATAATAGGCAAAAATGAAAAAAATGGTACAACTTGACATTTAGGTGTAATACATTGTACCACCATTGATTTTCCCCTATTAGTCATTGTTAAATTTGCACTTTTCAAAAAATTGTGCAGAATTTATCTTTGTTTCAAATAAAGAAATACTTGCCATGAGTAAAGTTTTATCCTGTCCAGTACTATAGAAAAAATTTCACATAACATTTCATTGCAGTTAAGAAAATAATCATCACTGGAAGTTAACCAATCAAATTTTCACCCCTTTTTTTCCTGTGTACAAGCTTTAGTCACCATGTAACCTTAATTTTCCAAAATATTCTATAGAAACACCAAATAAAATAATAAGAGTGCTTTGACAGTCAAGAATATAACTCTATAGGGTTATTAGAGAAAAATGACATACATTTGTTATTGTGGACTAAAAAATTCGCAAGAGTTCTGCGGAACCCAGTGTCTCACCTACTTTTGCTGTTAGGCGCAGGCTCAACAAAAATGGTGAAAAAATTATTAAAAATTTTCCTCTAGATACTATCTTTTGATTGTAAGAAGCTTCTGTCCAAGTTTGGTAAAAATCCAGGATGGTTAATGAATCTAATAAATGTTTTAAAACTTTAACTGCAGACTGTATGTAATGTTAACTGGAAGAAAAACTAAGTCCATTTATAAGTAATATACAGAAAAACAGGAAATAAATTTTTACAAAATTTCCATCTAGATACTAGCTTTTGATCATAAACAAGCTTCTGTCCAAGTTTGGTAGAAATCCAGAATATTTTTAGAAAGTTATTAAACTTTAAAAAAACTTTAACCACAGAGTGAATGTAATGTTAACTGGCAGAAAAACTAAGTCCATTTATAAGTAAAATACGGATAAACAGGATTTTTTTTTAACAAAATTTACTTCTGGATACTATCTTATGATCATAAACAAGCTTCTGTCCAAGTTTGGTAGAAATCCAGGATAGTTTAAGAAAGTTATTAAAATTTCAAAAATTTTAACCACAGAGTGAATATTTGTGGACGCCGCTGCCACCGATGACGGAATGTAGTATCGCTATGTCTCATTTTTGCGACAAATGTCGCAGGCTCAACAAAAATCAAAGAACTGTGATAACATATGTATGTTACATGTTCCAAAGGGCCAATATACATCATTTGTTTTGTTAAAATGTATATAAGTTCTATTGATATTATTATTGTCTTAATGTATACAAAACTATAGAAAGATATAACAGTTCATAGTTTGCCAATCATACATGGTACACCTATGTTATTACAGAAAAAATATGCCTGTAATAACTAAAGGGTGTTATTACAGCTTCTCTTCATAACAACAAAGCCCTTTGCTCAGACATATATCATGCTTAATCACAATGTTTTTGAATTTATTGTAAGAATTAATGATCAGAGCATGTAATGAGGTTCTGCGTAAGCTTCCCAGTAATTCCCAAGTGTCTCATATAATAAGTTACATGCCTTTAATAACTAAGTCTTGTTATTACAGTTAAGTTTATCCCTTAAAAGCCTTGTCTCATTGATTTACAATGGTTGATGAAAAATGTATTAATTTAATTCGATAATTAATTATCAAGGCTATGTATTTAGTTTCTGCGCAAAGTTTCAGGAATTCCAAAGTGCCCACTAAAAATCAAAATATTTATGATTTATCAAACAAATAACAAACATATGTTACTACAGATTTAGAAAATTTAAGGATTAAAGAGTAGACAACTCATGAAAGTATCTGTAATAACACATGCAAGATATTTTCTCTGATAACCCTATAGAGTTATATCCCTGAATGTTTGAAACACCCAAGATTTATGTTTATGACTCAGAAATTTTTTACTGCAATGAAATGTAGGATTAATTCCCTACAACTGTCAAATTCAAGGGAATATTTTTTTTCTGCCCTTTTTCGTATGCAGCCTGATGTGACGTACTATGATTTGGTGGTATTACACCTTTAAGGGCAATACCTCCTGTAAGAAGTCATCTGAGTTTTGATGTAGATGAACAATTGATAGAGCTCAACATTCTGATTATTTTTGCATCAAATAGATTTTCTCTATTTATAACAGTTTTCAAAATAATTGACAAAACTTGCATTTCACCCTTTTGTTCTATCTTTAGCCATGTCGGACATCTTGGTTGGCAGGCCAGGTCATCAGACCAAGTTTTTAAACTAGATACTCCAATGATGATTGTGGCCAAACAACGGCAGATGCCAAGTGATGAGAAAGCTCACTTGGCCAGGTGAGCTAAAAAGTTGGATATGTCTGTCCAAAGGATAAAAATGTCAAAAAAACAAAATTTTTAGTAAATGTCAAAAACTTCGACCCCATTTATTTCTAAAAGTAGCACATAAAGGTATAAATTTGAATCGACTAGGAAAAAAATAGCTTGTATGCAAATTTTCGTCAAATTTCACCTTGGGATGAAAACTGTATCGCATGCCCTTAATTCAGAATAAAATGCTCCGCTGGGGCGCAGCTTGATACGACCGCAGAGGTCGAACCCTGAACAGTTGGGACAAGTATGGACACAACATTCAAGCTTGATACAGCACTGAATTTGGATTGTAATTAAATATTTGACACAGCATAGGTTTATGACACAGAATGAAAGTGGTCTAAGAACTTAAAATTTTTTAATTTACCTATTCAAACCATATCATTATTACTTGCTTTTATATATAAATCAGAAATAACCAATTTAAAATAGAAAATTTTAAAGAAAAAAAAGGAACCCCCCCCCCAATTTTTTGAACCCCCTTATGATTCATCACCCCCAAACTCAAACCCAGCTTTCCCTATGTGATATGGAACCTTGCAGTACAATTTCATAAAGATCCATACACTTACACACAAGTTATTGTCCTGAAACTAGAAACATGATTGTTTTTTTGCTCTTTTATGGCCCCTAATTACTAAAATTTTGAGGGAATTACCCCCAAAATCAATCCCAGCCTTCCCTTTGTGGTATGGTACCTTGCAGTACAATTTCAGAGAGATCCATACACTTGAACACAAGTTATTGTCTGGAAACTAGAAAAATGCTTATTTTTGGCCCCTTTTTGGCCCCTTACTCCTAAACTTTTTGGGCAATTACCCCTAAACTCAATTCCAGATTTCCCTTTGTGATATGGAACCTTGTAGTACAATTTCATAAAGATCCATACACTTACACACAAGTTATTGTTATGAAACTAGAAAAATGCTTGTTTTTTGCCCCTTTTTTGCCCCTAATTCCTAAAATTTGGAGGCAATTACCCCCAAAATCAATCCAAGCATTCCCTTTGTGATATGGAACCTTGTGATACAATGTCAGAGAGATCCATAGACTTACACACAAGTTATTGTCATGAAACTAGAAAAATGCTTTTTTTTTGCCTCTTTTTGGCCCCTAATTCCTAAAATTTGGAGGCAATTACCCCCAAAATCAATCCCTGCATTCCCTTTGTGATATGGAACCTTGTGATACAATGTCAGAGAGATCCATACACTTACACACAAGTTATGTCTGGAAGTTACAAAATTGCTTATTTTTGGCCCCTAATTCCTTAACTGTTGGTACCATAACCCCCAAAATCAATCCCCACCTTCCTTTTGTGGTATTGAACCTTATGGTAAAATTTCATTGAGATCCATTCACTTAAACTAAAGTTAGAGTGCAAAAACTAATGTGTCTTCGCACGACGACGACGACGCCAACGTCATACCAATATACGACCACAAAAATTTGTTTGCAGTCGTATAAAAATTGCTCCGGACACAGAATCTAAAAAAGGGATACACCTCAATGCTATTTCTTTGTCATAACAGATGTTCCTGTATAATTTTGTTGTCGCAAGAGAAAATGTCTGATGCTATAAAAGAAGAATCATTGTTCTATGATGTCTATAGTTCAACACTTTGACCACAAGGTTTCTAGAATAACCATTGTGTCATATGCGGTATTAATTTTTTATGTTGTGCGAAGAATTTCAGAAAACCTCTTCAGTATAGTTTCTGTCATCATATCTGTTATTATGACATTATACCATTATTTGTTTAAATTAAAGGGGCATTAGCTGTCGAATTCATGTTCACCAATTCAACTCAAAATCTCGTAATTGCTTTATAATATAATAAAACATATATCCAAATTACAATAAGTCTGAAATAAACAATCAACAATGCATGGACTCAATTATATATGATCAGCATTTCGTGTGTATTTTAGTCTAGACACCATCTAATTAACCATCAAGAAGACCTCCGAAGACTACCGACAGTCACATAACCCGATATAAACATGAATATAAATAGATATCGACCACATGCAACTGTACTTTTCTAGGTCTGCTTGATTTCATGTTCAAGGTTAAAAAATAAGTTCATCATCGTTTTTACCTGTATAAGAATGATTTTTTGTGGATCGAATCAGTCAACGAAATGGTTCACCTTTGTTTCACTTTTAACATTGACATTCTTTTCCTTTTAATGGCTGAACATGCCTAATACATGCATAACCAATTTCTAGCTAGGGGGTTAAATTGAAGGTCACATGAATGAGGATTCAATTAGGTGGAATTATTCACTTGTAAGTGAATAATTCATCAGCGCTGTTTCTTGGCTTATTTTGACAAAATTGAACTAAAGTGGCTGCTAAAAGCAAATTATTATTTCACTTTTTCACTTTTATTAATGATTGAACAAAAAAAATCATATCTATGTCACAATATGCTGGGTCTCACTAATTAGCAACAAGGAGCGTCAAGAAGTGACAAGAAGAATAATTAAGTGACAATCATTACAATAAAACTAATTTAGCGTCAAGAAATCTTAATATTACTTATTTCAAATTAATAAATATAGAAACATGCATTGATATAAGTTTTTTCTTAATATACATGTATTTTGATTTTTCTTTTATATTGATAGTAGAAAATGAACAATAGAGTTTTTTTTTCATTATTGAGGATATGTTTAAGATAATGTATTTACAGTTTACAGCATATATTATATATTGTATAAATGAATGAATGAATGAAAAAGTGGTGGGGGTAATTTCTTAGTTTCTCTAATTTTTAAGTCATTCTTTATAGACACTTTTAATAGTATAATCAGATGATCGAAGGATAAGCTCATCCTGTATGCTCTAATATTTAGAGTTAAACTGCCATGTTTTTTATTAAGATTACTTCACTGTTGTATCACCATGATGATTCTTAGATTGTAACAAAATATTCAGATTCATAAATACTTTAAAATATTTTTTTTACTAAAAATTCACTACATGACGGCATAGCTACTGAATGCAACACAATTTGAAAGTTTTTAAAACAATTAAAATAATCTGTAATTAACTGATTTAATTTTTTATAAATTAATTGTCTAGTTAGTACTGGGAACAGTATATCTAACGGAAAATGAATCTGACATGTCTGATAGGCTTTTCAGTATAAAATTGATAAAATCCCGAACTTTACAAGACTTCACAAGATTTATATGTTCCTGGTTAGTATATAAACTTTCTTGTCGCTAAATTTGTCTTCTTTTTGCTAATTTTTTTCTTCTTTTCGCTTCTTTCTCTAAATTTCTTTTTGTCGCTTCTTGTCTCTAAAATTCTTCTTGTCGCTAAATTAGTGAAACCGCAATATGCTTATGTTATCACGTCACAGTAAGAACTGATTGTTCGATGAAATTGTTAACACCGATTGACCTTGGGTGTAATTCATTCATAAATAACAGCTCAAGATTGGTGTATAACATAAAAGTTAAAACTATTATATTCAATAGCTAGTAGACTAGTTAAATATTTTTATTATTTTCTAGTTTGGAAATGATTCGTTCTCAAATTCTAACGAGGCACATATATCCTTGTCTCATGGGTTTTCGTGCTATTAAGAATGAATTGTGAAGTCACAAATTGAAAAAGCATGCATAGTACGATCTATATAGTACGAATTCATGTGTCCTACGAAAACATATGATCTGACCATATGTTTCTGGTGCGGTTTGCACACAAGGAAGCACTGCCAAAGGGTTAAGGGTCTCAGGCCAAGTATTGCAGACTCCTATATAGCCATAAGGTCTATAATTATTCATAGGCCTTATAGTACATTGCTTTGGGAGAATCAAAATGTGTATCAAAAATATCTCTGAAACATCATAACAATTTACTGACTCATCTCCATGTATACATGTGTATGAAATCTCGTTGTAATGTATAAGATGTCAGGTATTTGTATATCGATTCTTACAAAATGATAAAGTATGTGTCTTTCTTTGGTGATTGCATAAAAAATTCTAAATTTGGCGTCGTGAAATCAGCTGGTTTTGTTATTGTTGTTGTCCTTGTGTAAAACGTCACTATTTCATGTTTAATTTTCATTTGAACTCATTGGGTTTCAACTATAACCTTCAAAGAAAAACCCCGAAATTCCATGAAGTCGAGCAGGATCATTGCAACGATTAAAAAAGGACTTAAACACGATTTAGCTTACAAGTTGTATATTGGCATTGAATTATTTTTTGGGGATGTGCTTTCATGCTTCTTTAAATTGATATAGTTATATTTTCCTTGTAAAAGTTTGTCAGAAATGGAGAATAATGACGTTATTTCTGATTCAGTTCCAATTCCAGATAACAATTCATCTCCACAGCAGGTTAAATTTAGGTATTTATTTCTTGATTTGGTTTTGCCCAACACTGCCACTGGCAACAGTGGCAACACATAAATTATTTGTATGAGTCCAGAAAGATGAGAAATGTGTCCAAAAAACTACACTTTATGTGAGTAACATTAAATACTCATTGAATCATGGTCACATACAGATACATTGGTTTCAGTTATGTATGTTTAATGCAAAGAAGCCCCCCAAAAAATGTGCACATGAATAATGCAGCTTTAGCCAGTTTACAGTACGCACAGAGAGTTTGTAATCGCGAACTCTAATCACGGATTTCGGAGTGTAGCGGTGTCACACCGCGAATCACGGATTATACTCCCAATTTCCTCCAAAGATTCTCTCCCAACACCGCGTGGCTGTTAATTGGTTTATTGCCCATCGGATGTACTGAAAATTAATGACTCGTGACAACATAATCGGATTAGCCAGATTTATTATCTTTGTACATTTAATCGATCTTGATTGCACCTGTGTGCTTTAAAACACGGTATTAAAATTTCCTTTCTTTGACAGATAAAAATGTGACATTTTCATTCAAAATAAGATAATTATTCTTGGATGTATTTGCCCCATGTCATTGTCATTTGAAATAAAACGTACACACGTATAAAAATACGAATAAAACACTTATTTTGTATTTTTATTATAGTCCCGGTCAGGTCATAATTTTTGTTTTTTCAACAAAGACGATTTTACTACAATTAGAATCTTTTATGACCTACTCAGTGAGCAATATCCGGTTCATTAATTGTTCAATATATAAATATCAACTGGCTTAAAACAAAATGATGTTTTTACGGTAATTTGTCCTATCTAAACCCAAGAGTTAATTTAACGGATCAACAAGTGAACTCTGTTACTTTCAATATATATGTAAAATATTATGTTTCACTACCTCGGTAGATTACCGACTTGAAATATTTGAACTCAGAAAAGAAACTGTAAAGTGACAACAAAAAATGTGGATCGGATTTTACGATCTACACATTTTCACAGAGGATCTCTACCAACGCCCAACAGGAACTGAACGACATGCATCCTGTTTTCCTCTACCATTTATGTATATTGTTGACCATGGACGTATAAATAATGTCATGCAGGTTTATGTCCTGTGTTGACTTAGAAACGTAAAATTAAAAGGCTGGTGTTCGTTTATTCAGAAAAGGATTATATTTTAGATTCCGGTTAATCAATTGTAAAAGGACCTTCTAGAGCCTCAATCTTAAGGCATACAAATGTCAATCATTCCAAAGCAAATTTAAAACCCGAATGAATTTTCCCACGGTCATCCAGAAAGGTCACCTGAGTTTACTGTTACGTGATAATATTTCCCGCCAAATAAAAATCTCGTGGACAAAATTGATGTCACTATTTTTAGCATTCAATATTGTGAGCGAAGTCAAGTTCAAAGTTCAACCACGGACTGTTGATCACTGAGATGTGTATCGTCTTCCCACGGCAATTAATTTCTTTTAAAAAATTTAAAAATCACTGTCCTTTATACAATACACAAGTTTACATTCATTGTGCGTAAATGAATATTATGCAACGATGAGTTGATGCAGCTATAGAAGTGTTGTAGCCGAAATGTAATTATTAATCCTAAGTATAAGTAATGCCAACAAATCGTAAAGAGAAAATTCCGTAGACTTATTAAGTATAACGAATGGTGAATAGTATTTTCTTTTTTACTTGCATATACAAATTTTGAGACACGTAATTTTCTTTAAACTGCTCACTTTTATATTCAGCGTTAGTTTCCGTTTATTTTTACGCAAGTATGTCTCATTTAATAAAATAATTTACCGATGAACTTAAACAAGGTCAAAATCAAGTATAGTTTTTGTTATAAAACTTTAATGCAATTGAAAGAATTAACAACAACATTCTGCTTTTAAATCTTTAATTTGTTTCAAGCAATTATGTAATCGTAAAATGAAAATGGCGTGGACTTATTAGCATAACGAATAGTGAATAATATTTTCTTTTTTACTTTTATACAAAACTTTGAGACATGTAATTTTCCTTTAAACTGCCCACATTTATTCAGCGTAAGCCTCCGTTTATTTTTACACAAGTATATCTCTTTTGTAAATAAAATATTAATTTACTGACCAGAAAAAAAAACGAGGTAAAAATCAAATATAGTTTTTTTTTAATAAAACTATTTTTAAATGTACATTGTAATTGAAAGAATTAACAACAACGTTTTGCTTTTAAATCTTTTATTTGTTTCAAGCAATCAGAATTATAACTTGATTATCAATAGACAGGAAATACAATTGTTTAATTACATAAGTAATCTCACATACCTTGACTGTCGCGTGCCGGTATAGATCAGAAGGATTAGGGCAATTTATTACCTGGTGTGACACCGCGTCACACCGGACTGGGAGAGATGTCGCTAATACAATAAACAAAAGGTAGTGAATTTACGCGGAAGTCGGAGGGAATACTCCCAAATTTCTCCGAGAATTTAGGGAGGGATGTCGGAGTTTCCTGGTGTCACACCAAGAAAAAACTTGGTGTTCGGAGTTTGGGAAGCCTTTCGCGAAATTTGTACTGTAGGTCAGCAACAAAAAATGCTTGTTTCCTGCCTCCTGACTGACCCTAAGTTTGATCACTGACCCTAAAATATTTTATTGATTTTCCAAAAACTTGAATATTCAAGAAAACTTATTCAAGAATAAGTGTTAAAAACTTTTTAATTTGACTATGAATCTGACATGTCTGATTTCATCAGGATTATTCACACAAATTTGTAATACGATTGATGCATATCGAGTGTAGAACTTGTCAAACCATTGAAAATCATAAACATATCATCACACATGCGTTAATTATCAGATGCATAAGTGTAAAACGGGACTGAACTCGAAGAAAACAAGAAATATTTCTGGATTTTGTTAAGGTTCATGTGGTCGACCCTTTTGCTAAAATGGCTGCGTTTTCACCTCAAAATTTAATTTTGAGTACAGACAAACCTGTGCATCTGGAAAAGTTTTAAGGAATAGCATGCCCTAGATAAAAAAAATTCAAATGCATTGTATGTTTTAGAAAATTTAAAACTTTACTGGATTTTGCAGTGCACTTTTTTTCGTCCCTGCAGAAGATGATAAAATTAACAAACAGTTGAGTTTTCAACTTTCACTTGATATGGTCCACTCAGGTAGACAGTTTAAATCCCCAATTATTGTCAGGTATCTATTGTCCATCTATTGTCCATGTCAATCAATACAGTTCACTTCAATTATTACCTGTGGGGAAGTTCTCAAACCTCTTCCCAACTTAGTTTATTTTGGCACCTTATGGATGAATGAAAAACAGTGCACTGCAAAATCCTGTTATTATAAGTTCTTAATTTTCTAAAACATAAAATATATTTGAATTTTATTTATCTAGGGCATGTGATGCCTTAAAACTTTTCCAGATACACAGGTTTGTCTGTACTCAGAGATTTTGATGTGAAAATGCAGCCATTTTAGCCAAAGACTGAACATGAACCTCAAAGATAATGTACCATTTTGTTGTTTCAATGCTAAACAAATGGAAATTTTATAAAATATCTGCAGCCTTTCCCCATACTACTATATGGTCCGAGGACACAGTAATCATCCTTTGATTTTCGTTGTTTACAAATATAGTCCTTAGTGAGGACAGTGTATAACTTGCATATTTTTTTCATAAACTTTCCAAATTCATTTCTTTATTTTTTATGCATGAAATATTAAGTATGGGGATGAATCTGTCAAACTGTTTATAGACCCCCTTAATATAAAATTTTCCATATTTTGAGTTAGAGCTGGTAGACTTTTCTATAAATTTGTCCCAAAAGTAGTACACTACACTGTAGAAATCTTTTTGAGATAGAGCAGGTGTGATTTTTTTAGGTTGAATTTATTGTCTAAAAGAAGTGCACTATGAAATAACTGTGTTCTTGGGCCATATATGAAAAAGTGCTTGCTAGATAGACCATACCTGTCAACTGACCCGTATCCTGTGGGTTACACCCGAGAATTTCACCCCATACCTGGAATTTTTAAAATTACCTGCCGGGTCGTTAAATAACCTGGGATTTCGGAAAAATTACCCATTTTCACACATTGTAAAGGATCCTACAAATTAATGTAAGATGCAGTCACAGAAATAATTATATTATAAGAACGTCTGAACCAGTGAAGACTCTACAACAGATTTTATCCATCGGATCACCAGCAGTGATGGTGATACAAGGCTGAAAATACATTCTGTATATATAATTCGTCTAAATAACAGCCCAACAATGTTAGATCTGTAAATATGCGGAAGCAAATTTTTTGTTCTTCCCTGGCCGGGATTCGAACTCATGTATATATATATATTATATATATAGAAGTCTATATAAAGGACTAACCAGCAAATTTGATATGTACCGGATCGTCTAGAATAGACGATACTGCGCAGATAAGTAAAAAATTATATAAGTCTAAAGATTTGCACAACGGTACTAATAGAAGATGGTAATATACGAAGATGATGTTATAAAATCGTGTTGACAAATATTTAGGCTAAACAAATAGACTTTCTGTGTCAGTGTCAATAGTTTTAACAATACTAATTGTATGTGTAAAATAGCTCAATAATACAGGTAAGTTTTGGTCTTTGTATTGTGCTACCTTAATGGTTGGTAGCTATGTTGGTTTTTAGAGTGTACATTTGTAA